AGTAAGGACTGCAGATCAGTTGCCTGATGGACAGCTCAGATGTTTATTTGGATCGTTATGACTTAAACCTTAGCTGTGATAGGTGTTCTGACATCTGAAATGAGCTTGGGAACACTTTGATAGGATCAAAGACTGGGTGCTTTGCAATGCCCTTGCTGTGCTGGGGGAGCAATGGAGTGGAGAGGAAGAGGGAATACACATCCCTCTTCCCATCCATGAATGAAACAAGTTCTTTTGTTTTGCAGGCTCCCCAAGTCCTTGTTTACCCTCACCTGAGCTGCGAAATTAACAGTTGTGTTAATTAACACTGTTGGCTTATTGTCAGTTTGTGGAATCCAATGTCATCTTGGCATGAGAGGAGACAACTTTTGCATGAGAGAACCATGAAATATGCCCTGAGGTGGATGGTTGCCTGAGTGACAGGGTATGTGAAAGGGTTTGGGCAAGTGCCCAGAGCAGTTTTCACCTCCCATATCCTGGGATTTTACACTTCAGCAGGCTGAAAATCCTGGTGAATTGGTGTCCCAGCTGACAGAAGGGTGCTTTGCCTACCCCAGTGAAAACCAGGAGCTTTTGGCCCTGTGTTGGGGCTTGACCTGTGCTGGTTGAGCCATGACTCATTTCAGTCTGAGGATTGTGGTTAAGGCAGGGACCAAACCTCCTCTGGGAATGTCACGACTGAGCCAGGGATCCAAACTGCATCTGAGAATGCAGTGGTTGAGACAGAGTCTTAAATCATGTGAGGACACCATGACTGAGACAGGGACCCAAACAGCAACTCCAGGAAGCATCTCTTCCAACCTGAACCATTCTATGATCCCATAATTCCATGATTTTAGCATTGTCTCCTGTAGAAACACATGCATTCCCATTCCTGGTGACATTTGTTGTAGACTCAAGGAACAGAAAAGCAGTGTCTGTAACTGTGGAAGACTGGTGATAGTCCCTTGGCACTGGGGGGAATCCCTGCTCACACTCCCATACAGCCAGAGCTGCTCCAAGCAGTTCTGCTCCTGCTGGTCTCTCCAGGTCTCAGGTTTGAGCTGCAGCTCCTGCTCGCTCCACACTCCCAGCCTCTGTTTCTGGGGCTGCTGTCAGCCTTTCGTGGACCACTAGGCTGACAATAAAAGCCCCAAGGGCATCACCAGCTTGTGGGGTTGTGGGGTGAAGAGGCTGTGGTGTGCCCTCCTTGGCTGCGCAGAGCCAAGGGCAGAGATGAGTGATGAGACTGGGGGCTGATTTTGGGACTCCCACGTTGCCCAACAGTTCCACCAAGTCTGCTGTGACCTCTGGCTTCTCCACAGACTTCTTTGCCCTGGTGTGTCCTCCCAGACTGAAATGGAATGTTTGTGGCAGGCATGTCTGATGCCTTAGGATTTTAGCTTTTCTATTTTTCATGTATTTGTAATCCTGCAATTCTTTAGTGTATAACTCTAAACTCCATATAGCTTGTTAGCTACTGTCTTCACATTTTGGTCAGACAAGACAATTCCTTTCTAGGCCTGGGAATCAAGGACACCTCACTGTCTCAGGCTCTTGAAAACTATAAACTAAAATGAGTTGGGGGGATGGGGGCAAATTGGGGGGAAATTACTTCATTACCTGAAACTGTAATTGGAGGATTAACCCCTGATAGGTAAATGGACCAAACTTATAATTGCATGAAAAATTTGTGGCTGACATCTGTCTTGGGTGCAGCCTGTCTGGGAGGCTTTTGACTGCCCAAGGTGTATCTACTTTCAATAAATACCTGTTTTTATTCTCTTAATTTTGTCTAGCCTCTCTTTTAGGTAGCCATGCCAAGGCTTCATGTCTAACTGGAGGAGATGGGATCTTACTAAATGGTGAGGAGACCAGGGGGTTTTGGGGTGCTGGTGTATTTTTAAATTCCAGAATCAACAACTGGATCATCCACACTCTATAACATGTGGGGTGGCACACTGGGCTGGAGGAGTGGATGTGCTGGAGAGAGGAAAATCTCTGTGAAGGCTAATCTAATACCCATTAGATCCCTGAATGTATTCTCCAAAGCTATTACAAAATCTGACTGCAGCCAGGCCATGCATGAGCACAGCCCTGAATATTCCTCCTTAGACAACTATGAACTGTGACAAGCTATGACATGCCATACTCAAACCTTACCTCTTCACAAAAAGAGATAGCATTAGGAAAGAGACAGATTTTAATGCCCTGTTGACCATAAGGGAGGTTGATGAGGATTAGGAAGAAGCCCTAATGCACAGAAATCTCCCTGCCTGGGTAACATTAATGTACAACACCATGAACCGTGGGCAAGAGATGAGATTGAGTGATCTACCTTGTGAAACCAAAGATACAGGCTGCAATTTCAGGCAAATTAATAGCTCCTGGGGACTAGAACCCACTAAATGTCCAAACAGAACTCAGAGGTGGAGAGAGTTTATATAATCAAGCATTGGCCTTAGGCATTCCAAGAGCTGCAATTCAGAGGCAGCCTGCTGGGGTCATCCAGAGTTTAATTCATATCACAGCAATAGCAATCAGACAGAAAATACTCCAAACACTCGGACACCATGACCAGCTACAAGACAGGATAATAACTTTCTCTCTCCAAATTCAAGATCAAAACTCAAAAAACAGCTGGATGGCAAATGGGCCAGTCAGTCAGTTGAGTGGAAGCTTACCAGTAGATAGATTATAATGATAATATATTTTTATTTGTGTCAGTCCTCATCAACAATGACATTTGGAATAGATATGGGAGCACAAATTTCAATATTAACACAGCTGAGAAGCTGTGTCCCGGAGGGCAAAGACTTAAAACCACTGAAGTAAACAGAAGAAGAGCTAAGTGCCAAACCACAGGGGTTAATTTATGAGAAGCCGAACTTAAAGACCACAAAGAAAACATCTGTGGCTTTGATGTTTTGAAGACTTAAACCTGGCACCTGCCCAATGGCACTGTGTGGTCCTTTGGTTCAAATATTGACACTAACCCTGATAAAAATAATCTAAAACTTGGAGGTTAAAATGTGTGTGCCCTCTGAAAGTCTGAACTCCCTGACTCAAGGATCACTAATGTACCACAATACACAACTTTTGCTGTGTGAAAAAGAGCTTCTGAAGTTGTAGATTATTTGGAAATATTACAGGTTATTTCCAGAACCTGCTTCTTATATAATTTACCATTTTGATTAGTTCAAAAGCTGGGCAGGAGATTATGACTGACAATGGATTGTCAGCATCTCAATGAAAACACAGCCCTGCTAACAGCTGCAGTACCTAATTATTGCAATATAATCCAAATATATATCAATGGCAATGCCAGTAGCAGCATACACCCAGCATGGGCTTTATCTTAAGTGTTTTTTCCAGCCTTAATAATTAATATTATTTAGTTGTGTATATGTTCCCTGTGGAGTGGCTCCCTCTACAGCACTGTTTGTGTGTAGGTCTGACCTCAGCTTGTCCAGTAGTGGCCTATTGGCATGGTGATGAGGTTGGATATCTCCTCCCCAGCCTCTGCAGTGGAGACTAACACCATTAGCAGCATCCTGGGTCCAGACCCAGAGGCTTGGGAAAAGAGCAAAGTCCAGGTTCAAGGAGCTCTTGAGGACTGCCATGTGGACCACGCCAGGCTCCACCAACTCACCCTGAGCTGAAACTAACTGTGGTATGGGAATGGTATTAAAAAGATGTGTCTGACTGGCTTGTCCTGTTCTAATCCTTCCCTCAGCCTCCTCCGAAGCACAGTTTAGAGATCTCTCCTTGTGAGACATTTCTGTTGTAGTTTTATCTCCTAGCCAAAATAGCCTGAGGAAGAAAATTCTATTCCCAGCCGTGCACCTGTACATCAGCCAAACCCTGTTCAACCCAGCCTTGGATACTTCCAGGCATGGGGCAGTCACAGCTTCTCTGAGCAACCTGTTCCAGCCTGTACTTTTGCGTTCTGCAACTCAGGTGATGTAGCTGAAGCAACTGTCAGTGAAGATTGAAGCAAAAAAGGAGTCTTCAAGTATCTCAGCTTTCTGTATGCTCTGGGTAGATAGGTCTCCTTTTTCCTTCTGGACAGGGCCCATATTTTTCCTGTCTCCCTTTTATCAGCAGAATACCCCTGGAAACTTTTCCTATTGTCCTTGATGTCCCAGGCCAGCTTTAATTCTGTCAGGGATTTAAGTTTCCAAATCCAATCCCTGACTGCTCAGGCAATTCCTTTGTCACTACAATACCCAGTGGGGATGGAGGGATAACTGCTCTTGCAAGGAGCCATTCCAGAGCAAAGCTGGCATTTGGCAGTGGTGCAGACTTAAGAAGACTAAATAAAGCTGTCCCAAACTTGGAGGAGACAAAATACCACAGGACAGCCACAGATCTTTGGGCACTTTGGGAGTTTGCAGTCCCCATGGGGATGTTCAGCCCTGCCAGGTGCTGAAGGACCATACGGGGCACATCTACCTATGCCTGTGTGCACTGGCCATGGATCCTAGATAAGGTAATGGAGAAATGGGAAAGCAAGAGGTGAGATTATGGACTCTTCCCAGATATTTCTGTCTCCTCACTTCTGCCACCCTTTGGTGTCATCCTCTATTTAAGCGGTCTACCCCCCAAAAAAAACTCTTGAGAGATCTGTCCCCCAGGAGTCAAAGGGGCTGCTGTCCTCATACTGCCCTCCTAACCATGGGCTCCTCATTCAAAGGCAGCCGTGGTTGGGCAGCTCCCCTTTCACAGAGTGTGTTCCAGGCAGCAGTGCTCCAGCCTGATTTGGGAAGAGATGCAGCAAGGCTTCATGGAGTGGTGGTAATTGGTTTGGAGTAGTCAGGAGCACCTCTTTCACCTCCAAGGGACAGGGCACAAAAGAAAACCCAGGTTAGTGAGTCCTATGTTCTCCTTCCTGTGGGAATGAGGAAGGGTCCCTTTTGTGCCCAATCTAATCCTCTTCAAAAACAACCTTTCTCCCGCAGCTCACTAAAGAGTTGCCATAGAATAAATGAGGACTCTGGGGCCAAGATTTGGATGCAAAACAAATTTAATGAGTCAAAAGAAGAAAAGGAAGTGGCTCAGATGGAGCACTAAAAACAGCCATAAAGATGCCTGGCCTGCAGAGGGAGGGAGGCCACCAGCTCCATCTAGGCTGGCCTGGGGAGATATGGAAAGCAAAGGAAGGAGAGAGAGCAAGGTGAAAAATGGAAAATTAGATGCTCTTGCCCAAAGATGATGCCAGCAGATTTAGCAGGGATGACATCTGCTGCCACCAAAGCAGTTGGTGATGCTGGAGATGTCAAAGCCCCCAGAGCTGATGGGCACTCCCTGAGAGCTGAGGATGCTGCCAACGGCAGCGGAGGTGGAGGATCCCACGGCGGTGTTCTGTGGGAAGGAGCTGAGGATGGGGCCGGGCAGGGTCACCAGCACAGCAGGCGGCTCAATGATGACATGGGAGCTCTGGCACTGCCTGACACAGCACTCATTGCAGCTGCTGCCCAGCGAGCAGGGGCCACAGGGCTGGCAGCAAGGGTCGCAGGGCTTGCAGCAGGACATGGCTCGGGGTCACAGGTGCACCTGGCACAGAGGACAGGCAGAAGCAGAAAGTGGGGACACGTGAGAAGCAGCACTGCACCCAAACACCCTGCAGCCAAGGCTGCCCACATTGCAGTGCCCAGCTCAAAGCCCAGGAGCCACCTCAGCCAATTCCCAGCCTCTCACTGTCTGCACGAGACCTTCTCTCCCCTGCCCTCTCCCAGCAGAAGCAACTCCCCCAGCCCTGTGCTCCCAAATCCCGTCTCAGCTGAGACCTACAGCCAGGAAAGAACTGCTCTTGAAGCAGCAGGAGCAGGAGTAGGAGCAGAATCTTCCCACTCACCTGAGGATTCCTGAGGAGAAGGAGGTGAGAGAAGTGGATGAGAGAGCAGAGACTGGGGCTGCCTTTTATAGCAGTCCTGCCCTGCCTCAGGCCCAGAGGCACCTTTGTGGAAGGCATAATTTTCTGACCAGCTCATGTCAAATGTGTACCATCCCAGCTAATGGTAGGGGCTGTGTCCTGGTTTCCTGCATTGCTGCCTTTTCATTTCCTGGTAATTTCGCTTGCTTTCCTATATGAAGGGCTACTTTTTTAAGTGCTGGGAGGATAAGTCCAAGGATTTCCGGGGCAGAATTACGTCAGCACAGGCAGAAGTCTCTGATCAAGTGCCAGAAGCATCCCTTGTGGGCAGGTGATGTTCTCGTGTGCCATTTCTGAGTGGTTTGTTTGTGTCAAAATTGTCATGAAGGAGCTCTGCTCTTGTTCTTGCGCATGCCTAAGAACTGCAATGTGAGGGGACATGACAGAGGTTTTGGACACTGTTTCCTTCTTCCACTCTTCTCCTTCTTACTCCATGCTGTCTCTGTCTCTTCAGGCCAGTCTAGAGGGGATGTGTTGCCCTCTCTCCCTCATCTTGAGAGGCAGATGGGCACCCTGCAGGAGCTCCATTGCATGTTAGTGGCTGGCCCTGGTTCTCTCCGTGTGCCACCTCCTTTTCTTCTGTAGACTCATTAATGCTGTGCATCCCTACCTGGTCTTTCGTTCTGTGCCAACATTTCCAGTCTGTTCAGTGAAAAAAGTAGTGAAGCTGTGGGTGGGAGTCCCTGAGTGGATTTTACTTTGTGTCCTTTCCCTTGCAGCTGATGAAGACATCCCTGGCTACTCTGCAGCCAGTGGCCATCAGGGAGATCCTGGATGCAAAGAGTGGCAGCAGTGAACATGAAAACTAATCTTCACTGTGGGGGTAACAGCTCAAGACCTCATTCCTTCCTTCTTCTCCTCTCCATTACCTGGTCCATGAGCATGGTCAAGACATGACACCCTTATGACATCTGTACCTCCTTCAGTACCTGGCAGGGCCCAGCTGCTGTCCAGACATGCAGGGCTGAGGTGATTCACAAGCTGGGATCAGTGTCTGCCACAATCAGGCTGTGCAGAGAAAAGCAATGTGTACCATTTGTCAATTGCTCCTCTGAGTGTTAACATCTAAGACAGCTACAACCTCCCTTAAAATGCAATAGCACAGAACAAAATTCTTATGCCTGGGAGCACACAAAGTTGCCTATAGGATGGGTTTTGCTGTGTGGCTGAGAGGCCTACTCATATGTCCTGGCCAATATTTCTTGAGGGCCCATTGCCACTGGTAGATTAACTCTTCTACTATTTCACCAAGTAACTATTTTACCAATGTGAAGCACAAAAGAGAAAACTGCTCAGCTTGTCAGTTGACAGAGGGTTGTGATTCCCAAGTGACCCCGTACAGTGAGAGTGAACTGGAACTTTTGAACACCTGGAGTTGGGGTAGCTGTGAACTATCCCACCATAAAGAGAACCATGTGTGCTTTAGTTAAAGATATAGATTACACTTCACAAACATTAACAGCCCAAAGTACATAAATTACACAAGTCAGAGAAGCTGCCTTTGAAAATCGAGCAGCAATTGACTACTTGGTGTTGAGACATAATCAGGGATGTGAAGAATTTAAAGGAATGTGTTGATTCAATCTTTCCAATAACTCTGGACTAATAGAAAAGAAAGAAACTACTAAAGAATCCAGCCAGAAGTGCTAGAGAGACAGGAATAGCTTTCTCTTGGCTGGTTTCATGGCCCCACACTCCTAAACTTAGGATGGTTAAAACAATCTCTTGCACTTACCAGGATTTCATGTGGTACTCATGACCTTAATCACTTGTTGCTTAATTCAGTGATTACTGCTGTGCAGAGTTGGGCAATAAAACAACTGGCTATGACATTTTAAAGAAATTATATTAAAGTCTCAAAGGGGGAATTTGTTACTGAAAAAGTTCTATTTCTTCAAGGAGTCTGCAGCAATGGGGGAAGATGCTGGAAAATTCTTTTGACTTTAGCACATAGTGTATGTTTCTATATTCATGGTTAATGCTTAGTTTTGTAGCAGGCAGTGCTTATTATAAATTCCAGAGATTAATGTGACCTTGTGTTAACTCCTTACGTCTGTGATTGTTAAGTCTTGTGTCAGCTAACGCTTCTTTATTTACCTGTATCAGTGATTAATATGTAGTAGCCGATATCTTAGTTTTGCAATGTCTTGGTTTGAAAGAGAGGTGTCTGCCAAGGAAGGTGGGAACCTCCATTGGAATGGAGAATATGACCCCCTTCCCTCCAAATTATTATAACTTTGAAATTAAGGGGCTTCCAGGCAAAGAGATGGGAAAAGAAATAACAGCTCTTTTCAGAACCCGGCAGCAGCACCAAACACCAGGGCCAGCCTTGTCTCGGCCGCAGGCGCTTTCCCCTTGGCTGCAGTTCCGGGCACGGCCAGCGGGGGAGCTGGTGGCTCCCGGCCGGGCAGAGGGGGTGCGGTGATTCCCCTGCGCCTGCAGGGGGCGCTGTGGTGCGGGCTCGGCCACGTCTCCCTCAGGCAGTGATGGCGGACGGGCTGGACGAGCTCCAGCAGGAACCTCGGAGCGGCAGCTGGAACTGCAGGGCAGGCTCACTGGGGCAGCAAGCAAGAGGCAGCAGAAACTCAGCAGCAGTGGCCCAGCTGCTGAATGTGGCCGGGAGAAGCTTTCCTGGAGCGGGAAAGGGCCCAGGGTCCCAGAGTTTCCCCTGAGGCACATGAGGAAATGGTGAGAAGGGTCCCTCTCTAGTGAGATAGGTTGTTAGTTAATAAGGTCCCAGTGCAACGGCCACTCCCACAAACAGAACTTCTCTCACGGTAGGAGGTCAGCAGGAGACTGAGCTTAGTGGTGGTGAGCTCTCCCCACAACGACTGCAGCCTGCTTTCCTCCGAATGTCATGAAAGCAAGAGTTGCACCTAGCTCCCTTTAACCCAGCCGAAAAATCGAAAAACCACAGTGTCTCTGCCCCTCCAAGAGAAACTCTCCAGCTAAGAGAGTAGCCAGCTGCATCTTTCCCATGGCAATTTGTTTTGTCTCTCTTAAGTATCAGTTGTTATGGTTTCTTGGCAACAGATGGGACAAAATTCCATGAGAGATAGAAACAAAAGGAAAAATCCTAAACCCCAAAATGAGAACAAGTATTGTGTGTCAGAGTGAAGAATAATGAGAGAAGTACATTATGACCTGACCACATATTTGGGATACTCTCACAGAGAAAAGATTCATCAGAAGATCTGGAACCATATCCAAACAAGTCGATGGACATAATTAACATACATGCATGTATTCAATAAAGTGATGAATATGTGTTCGTTTTCAGAGTACAACCTGGTCTGTTAGGTTACTGGCCATGTTTAGAGGAGACATCCTCACGCATTCAGCTCTGCTAATAAAGTAACGTCACCTTTCTGACACAGGAAATTGGTTGGAGAGTTTATTTCCCAGTTTTCAGTGACAGCAAGGCTTTGAGCAGCCTGGTCCTTGCCCGTGGCAGGGTGGTGGGACAAGATTGTCTAACCTAAACCATTTGATGGCTCTCGATCTGTGGGCTGTCCATGGCAGACCTTGTCTTCACCAGGGTCCATCTTCCTTTGTCTGCCTTGCAGTCCCCCTTGGGCACAGGTTTGGTCAAAGGCTTCAGTCAAGAAGGCATTGATGGACAGATTACATCTATCCATACATGGGAGAAATGTGAATTAACAGTGAAGCCCAAAGTCATTTGTACAAACTCAACCAAAAGTCATTTACCACTGCGTATCCTGAATATGGCTGATACCAATCCTAACTTCTGAAATAGCTCAGCACTGCATCTTTGGACAGAGCTGGGCACTGCATGAGCTGAGGGCCCTTGTGAGATGTGCACCTCCTCTGCCTGTGCTTCTGTGTGCAGGCTGTGGACCCTAGACTGGGTAATGGAGGGGAGGAGAAGATAGAGATGAGGTTGTGGCTATTTCCAGACATTGCTGTTTCCCGGCTGTTGGGAGAAAAAGGTTAAAACTGAAAGACTTGGAGAGGAGAATGATGGATTTGCACAAAGTGACCTTTTAGGTGGGAAGGCTGAGAATATCCATGTGGGAAACTTCACATGAGACCCGTTGAGATACCGGGACAGTCAGTGACCCGCCAGGATTGGACTGACCCTAATGGTGCCACTGTTCTCATTTTATGTGTTTCTGCAGCCTGGCAGTGCCTTGGGACCTTTCCATTAATGAGGTAATGAAATAAATCTACTCTTTGCATTTCAGCTGTGGTTTGGTGACTTGGACGTATCAATTCACATCAACCCACTCCTGTGAGCCTTTGGAGCCTCACTGTTCCTGATGGCCATTGACTGTGCAGTATTGTCTCGCTTTAGAAGACAAGTGTCTGCTAGGGAGGGCAGGAGCCTCCCTTGGAATGAAAATGACCCCACTCCTTCCAAATTACTGTAATTTTGAAATCAAGGGGCTCTCAGGCAAAGATCTGGGGATAGGAATAACAGTTCTTTACTAGTATGTATAACGAGGCACACAAACAACAATAACTACAACGTTAACAACAAAACAGAACCAGGGACCCCGTGACAGCTTTCTCGGCCGAGACGGGAAGGGATGGAGGAGAGGCTTTGCTTCACAAACCCCCTCGGGCCGGCAGTCCCGGTGCTCCTGCAGGGCTCTGAGGAAAACTCAGCTGGAACAGCAGGGATGAGCTGAGATCCTGGGTCGGTGTCTGAGGTGTATCAGCAGCTCTGCGGTGGTGGCTGGCACTGGCACGTCCTGGCAGGGCAGGGGGTGTGAGACCACCAAGGAAGAGAGAAGAAGAAGCAGCAGCTCCGTCTGGGTGATGGCGAATTCCCCTCTCCAAACTGCAACAGCTCCGAGAGAGTGTCTTCCTCTCGGGCTCAAGAAACCAGCCAGCCCCAGCTGCCCCCGCCCTCCCCTTCCCATGCCCCCCTTCCCCCCTGGGCCCAGCCAAACTCTTTGTGTTTCTCAAGCGCCCAACAAGTACCAGGCATCAGGTTTTCCCCTCAACTAATAGGCAAAAAATTCCATAGGTGAGAAGGAACACAAGGAAGCACACGCAACCCCCCAGCATTTTCCAGGTACGTTTTCAGCAGCTCCAAGGGGAAAGGGCACAAAGTAAAATTAACTGCAGGGACTCCCACCCTCTACTTCTCCACCTTTTATCCTGAGCAGAGAGGGAGACTTTCTGTGGAAAGAAAGGAAACTTGGAGGACAAGGCTAGGATGCAAAACAACTTTATTGACTCTAAGCAAGAAAAGGAGGTGGCTCACAAAGAGCACCATTAGCAGCCAGTAAGATGCAGTGGAGTTCCTACAGGGGGTGCACCTGCCTGCCCTTCAGAGGAAGGCAGTGCAACATGTCCCCACTAGGCTGGTCTGGGGAGACATGGACAGAAAACAGAGGACAAAGAAAAGTAGAAGGGAATAATGCGTTGAAGCTGTAAATACAATGTCCCAAAGCTCTATCTCTGCACAGAACCACGTTCAGAGATCTTGGAGGTTCTTGCCCGAGGATTTGCCAGCAGATTTAGCAGGGACGACATCTGCTGCCACCATAGCAGTTGGTGATGCAGGAGATGTCAAAGCCCCCAGAGCTGATGGGCACTCCCTGAGAGCTGAGGATGCTGCCAACGGCAGCCGAGGTTGAGGAACCCACCACGGTGTTCTGTGGGAAGGAGCTGAGGATGGGGCCGGGCAGGGTCACCACCACAGCCGAGGGCTGGATGGCCACGTGGGAATCCTGGCACTGCCTGACACAGCACTCATTGCAGCTGCTGCCCAGCGAGCAGGGGCCGCAGGGCTGGCAGCAAGGGTCGCAGGGCTTGCAGCAGGACATGGCTCGGGGTCACAGGTGCACCTGGCACAGAGGACAGGGAGAAGCAGAAAGTGGGGACACGTGAGAAGCAGCACTGCACCCAAACACCCTGCAGCCAAGGCATCTCCTGGCCGACATTGCAGTGCCCGGCTCAAAGCCCAGGAGCCACCTCAGCCAATTCCCAGCCTCTCACTGTCTGCACAAGACCTTCCCTCCCCTGCCCTCTCCCAGCAGAAGTAGCTCCCAGTCCTGTGCTCCCAAATCCCGTCTCAGCTGAGACCTACAGCCAGGAAAGAGCTGCTCTTGAAGCAGGAGCAGGAGCAGGAGTAGGAGCAGGATCTTCCCACTCACCTGAGGATTCCTGAGGAGAAGGAGGTGAGAGAAGTGGATGAGAGAGCAGAGACTGGGGCTGCCTTTTATAGCAGTCCTGCCCTGCCTCAGGCCCAGAGGCACCTTTGTGGAAGTCATAATTTTCTGACCAGCTCGTGTCAAATGTGTACCATCCCAGCTAATGGTGGGGGCTGTGTCCTTTTCATTTTCTGGCACATGCCACATGCTTTTCTACATGAATTCTTCTGTAAGTGCTGAGATTAGTGGTTCAAGAATTTCCGGGATAATAAAAACATCGGGACAAGCAGAATGCTCAAGTCCAGGACTGGTGGCATCCCATTCAGGCACATAATGTAAAGCTGGGTCATTTCTATGTGTTTGCTCATGGAAAAGCCATAGTGGCAAAGTAGTATTCTCCTATCCATGCCAACCTTGAAGGACTGAAACCTATAGGAAAGGCTCATCCTGGAAAAGAGAAAAATATGAGGAGGCTGAAAAGTTCTGCACTGACCAAAACTCCCCCATTCCACTCCCCACAGTGCCATGTAGGGCAGAGGAAATAAAAGATTCATGAATGAAGGATGGAAGTTGAATCTTTTTGAAAGAAGTGTGGATGAACTAAATTATAGGATCAAAAAATCATAGAATGCTAATTGGGAAGGGACCCTAAGGACCATCTAGTCCAAACACCCCCTGCCACGTGCAAGGACACTGAAGTTAATTTAAGGGTTGTTTCTGGGGAGAGGGGATTTTTTTTTTTTTTCTCTTTTGCTCTTTCTCAAGATCTTGTCTTATTTTTTCATTGTCAGTGTCTTAAACAAATGTTCCCCAACTCAGCTCTATTTTGTTCTTTTCCCAACCCTCCATCCCTCACTGACCGTCTCTCCTGGCCAATCTACTCTGTATGTTTCCCAGACAGGTCTTTCAGAAGATCTCAACTGTCTTTGTAGTCCCAAATTTGTGAGGTTCAAGCACTAAAGGGTGTTCCCCGTGAGCTCCACACTTCAGGACAGGTGGGAGAGAGGGACAGAGGCCAAGTAGAGTTCTCCTGTGATAGCATCTAGTCAGGGAACCCTTTGGTGCAAGGCTGAGCTCTGTGGGAAGGGGCCTCAGTTCTCCCCGGCAACCCAATTTTCCCCATGCACCCAGAGATGGGAAAAAGATCCTTTTGCTGTGAAGGGCTGGGGTTATTGCCTAAGGGAAGAGGAAATGGGGGAGGAGAGAGCTTCTGCCATGGAACAGTCCCAGGATGGGATTGCATTGGCAGTGACCTGCAAAGAGAGAGCAAGCATTGTTCTGACTGGTGCTCTGTTTCCAGTACCATGGCCAGAACTGGTGGTGGCTTGTCTGTGTCATCTTGCCAGCCCCTGTGAATAACTTTTCCTCTCCCAGAGGTGCTCTGTGTGCTGAGAGTTGGGAATGTGTTGTCTGCAAGATGCCTCAGCCCTGAAAATGTGTGCTGCCCCTACACTCCATCTCCCAACTCTTTTCCACGGATGGAACTGCTCTTCCTCATCCCTGGTTCTCTTCTATTTCCTCCATGTTTAAGCAGCACAGTGGGATACAGAAGGAGGGGTTCCAGTCAGAACACAACAGTTATTTTTTAGGCAAAGATCAACTTTAACAGGCCTGATCATGAAAAAGCAGCAGAATTTCAGCAGTTAACCTGAAAAAAAAATCACACCTTCCTACCTTTCCAGACACAGTTGCTAGGCATGCAATTTTTGGCAGGGTATGGAGGCCCTGGTGCTTGAACATGAAAGGAATTTAACTCAAAGATGTTTGACTTCCCCCATACCACACAGAAAGTCTGTTCTACATCTCACGACAGAGCACAACTCAGGTCCCAATCCCTTCAGTCCAGCACCCATTTGCTGAGAGATGAAACCACTTCCTCACTCAGTACCAGGCAGATGAGCTGTACAAGTGCATATGGCATTGGTCTGGAGAGGAGGAACCTGTGTCCAATCCCAGTCACCAGCAAAGCTCCAGCATAAGAGGATCAATTCAGGGACTTCAATTCACTGGTCTGCCTGGAACAACACAAGGATATGTGCACTCATGTAATGACAGTAAAAATTCAGCAGCTGAGGTCTCTGCTGCCACAGCATGGCCCCTCACACGGCAGTCCTTGGGCAAGAAGCACAAAAGTGGTGCCCATTTCCTGGCAACTTTGCTACAAACAAACCCACAGGAATGACACAAGTTCACATCAGCTGACCACATGGAATGCCAACAGCCCTTGATCCGAGCATTCTGCAGGTGCTGATGTGTTTATGTCCCGGAAATCCTTGGGCTTGTTCTTCCAGCACTTACAAAAGCCCTGAAGGGGAAGAGAATATGGCATGTGCCAGGAAATGAAAAGGCAGCAATGCAGGAAACCAACCCCTACCATTAGCTGGGATGGTGCACATTTGACATGAGCTGGTCAGAAAATTATGCCTTCCACAAAGGTGCCTCTGGGCCTGAGGCAGGACAGGACTGCTATAAAAGGCAGCCCCAGTCTCTGCTCTCTCATCCACTTCTCTCACCTCCTTCTCCTCAGGAATCCTCAGGTGAGTGGGAAGATCCTGCTCCTGCTCCTGCTCCTGCTGCTTCAAGAGACCTACCTGGCTGTAGGTCTCACCTGAGACAGGATTTGGGAGCACAGGGCTGGGAGTTGCTTCTGCTGGGAGAGGACAGGGGAGAGAAGGTCTTGTGCAGACAGTGAGAGGCTGGGAATTGGCTGAGGTGGCTCCTGGGCTTTGAGCTGGCCACTGCAATGTGGGCAGCCTTGGCTGCAGGGTGTTTGGGTGCAGTGCTGCTTCTCATGTGTCCCCACTTTCTCCTTCTGCCTGTCCTCTGTGCCAGGTGCACCTGTGACCCCGAGCCATGTCCTGCTGCAAGCCCTGCGACCCTTGCTGCCAGCCCTGTGGCCCCTGCCCGCTGGGCAGCAGCTGCAATGAGTGCTGTGTCAGGCAGTGCCAGGATTCCCACGTGGCCATCCAGCCCTCGGCTGTTGTGGTGACCCTGCCTGGCCCCATCCTCAGCTCCTTCCCACAGAACACCGCCGTGGGATCCTCCACCTCTGCTGCCGTTGGCAGCATCCTCAGCTCTCAGGGAGTGCCCATCAGCTCCGGGGGCTTTGACATCTCCAGCATCACCAACTGCTACGGTGGCAGCAGATGTCGTCCCTGCTAAAGATGCTGGCAACATCCTTGGGCATGAACTTCCAAGATCTCTGAACGTGGTTCTGTGCAGAGATAGAGCTTTGGAACATTGTATTTAGAGCTCCAGGCTTCTCTTTGCTTCCTGTACCCTCCTCTCTCTTATACTTACTGTCTGTGTCTTCCCAGACCAGCCTAGGGGGATGTTTTGCCCTCCCTCTTTCTGCAGGGCTGGCAGATGCACCCCCTGTAGGAACTCCACTGCATCTTAGTGGGTGCTCCTCTTGGCCTCTGTGAGCCATGTCCTTTTCCACTTTACATTCAATAAAGTTGTTTTGCATCCAAGCCTTGTCCTCCATATCTTCTTTTTTTTTTTCCATGGATAGTCTCCCTCTCTGCTCAGGGTAAAAGGTGGAGACGCAGAGTGTGGGACTCCATGTATTGGATTTTACTTTGTGCATTTTCCTTTGGAGCTGCTGAAGAACATCCCTGGCTACTCCACAGCCAATGGCAAACAGGAAAAAGATGGCTCCAAAGGGAGGCAGGAATGAGGAAAGGAAACAGCAGTGTCTGGGAACAGCTCACAGCCTCATCTCTTCCTTCTCCTCCCCTGCGTTACCCACTCTAGGGCCCATGAATAGCACATGTTGTCAAAGGCAGATGAGACAGGTACCTCACAGAGTCCTTTAGCATGTGGCAGGACCCAGATGCTGCCCAAACATGCATGGCTGAGGTGATGCAGAAGCTGGGATCAGCATCTGCCAATCAAATTGAACAGACTGTGGGGTCGCACTGTTAAGGTGAAGGAAACACTCAAGATTCTTAAATGCTCAAGGTCAAAAGGAACGGCAGAAGTCAGATGGTCCATGAACAATCAGAAAGTTTTATTAGTAAAATTAGTAAAGTTTTATTAGTAAATTACATACCTAGTGTGGAGATTGGTATGTTAGATTAGTCCCAGACCTACTATATAAACAATGGCGCAGTGTGTTTTGGATTTAGAAGTTTGGTGAAAGGGAAGAGAGAAATTAAAGAGGTGGGGATGAATTAATGGGGGAAAAAGAAAGAGAGGTAAAGAGAGAGGGAAAGAGAGAGAAAAAGAGATCACTAGAGAGAAAAGGAGATCACTGGCCCTTGTTCCAGCTTCCATCCAGCTGATAAAATGTCAGTTCCAGTTTCAATGTTGATCCAGTGCGTGAGATCTCAGTCCTGGTTTCAGCATCCATCCAGCTGTGCCAGTCCAGTCCGTTGGATGTCCAAGGTCATAAGGTGTGAAGAGCCAATTTAATTTTGATTTCTGTCTCAATACTGGTTGTCAGAGGCATGTGGGGGAGGCACTGCACATGTGACACTTGCAGGAGTCAGCTAAAAGATGGGAGAGAGCCTTGTCTCTGGGGAGACTATGCCTGGCAATCGGTTCATGTCTCACATGGGAGAGGCATTCAGCAGGGGAACACCAAAGTCATTGTACCCTCCAAACAGGTTCTCCAATCAGATGGAAAAAACTCTCCACCAAGAGACTGCCACCAAATATTTTACTGAGTCAATGGTCTCCTGTCAGCAGGGAGACTTTGGGAGGATCCAGGGGGCATAAAAGTAATTGCATCGCAAGCTCTGGAGCTCTTAGGGCTTTTTGGCTTTGGGCTTTTTGGTTTGGTTGTTTGAGTCTTGTCTTTTGGGGGCTTTTTTGAGTCGGGGCTTTTGGAGTCTGGAGCCCTTTTGAGTCTTGTGGTTTTGCCTTGGCTCCAGCCTGCTGAGGTCTGCTTCTTTGTCCTGGCCCTAGCCTGTTTTGTTGTCCTTTTTGCCCTGGCTCCAGCCTGCCTTTTGGCTCTTCTGTCCTCACTGGCCCTTGCTCACCCTCCCTCTATCTGGGCACTTGGCAGGACACCAGGTGACCTCTGAGCCTCATGTGTAGCCTGTGTCCTGCCCTACCCCTTCACCCATCCCACCTGCCGCCTGTCCTGCCTCCCTTTGTTCCTGTCCGTTGCCCTGCCCGTTTTGTCCCTGTGTTCCTGCCTGAGCCACCTGTGTCCAGCCCTGCTTGCCTCTGATCCAGCCTGCCAGTGCAATCCCCATCACCACCCTGCCCAGGGTCCCGCACCTCCTGCCCAATTCCCACTCACCTGGTGTCCAGCTGCCCGTTGTCGTGGGAGCTGTGCCTGTGGGGCTGTGCCTCTCTGAGAGCTGCACAGGCTCCCTGCCAGGCAGCATGCAGACACCCCTGCAGTGAGGACATCGACAGCACTGCCTTATCTTCTCATGGTAATACCTGATTTTGCTCTCTCCTTCTCTCCTCTCTCTTTCTCCTCACTCCCATCCTTTTCCATTTTCCTTCCCCCTTTTCAGTCTTTTCTAGACCTCATTAGTAGGGCAACTCCTTTTTTGTTTTTGTTGTTGTTTTTTCATTACCAATAAACTGTTCTCAGATACCATGTTGTCTCAGTTGCCTTAATTTTGTTCTGGACCATCTAGTTTTGAAATAACTCCTCATAGTTCCCCACAGTGGAACGCAACATGAGGACAGTACTCTGACTTGAGAGGACACCTTCTCATGGATATGTTTCTCTGCCCCAAAGATAGGTTTCTCTCTTTTTATGCAAAGGAGTTCTCATGCACAGTCTATTCTTTCAGACTTTTCTGGAAATGCATTGGAGGCTTCAGGGGTCTTTGGTGACCTTGATTCCCCCCTCCCCACAGTCCATATCTGCTTTGTGGCCTCATTCCTGTCCTTGTGCTGTCCTGTGTTGTGCTTCTCTCCAGGAACTACAGCAAGGATGTTTGTCCAAGAATCAAGCTGCCTGTCTCTGTATGGCCCCTTCTCCAGCCACATCCTGTTTTTTCTCACATCATCTTCAGGAAGTCCTGAAGGCACAGCAAAATAACAGCTCAGGCACACAATGCCCCATGGACTTTGTTTAGTTCCCCCTATGCTCTTCCTGCCCAGAGTTCATGGCTCAGACACCATCTGTGTCCATCTCACTGAACACTGGTGTAGGAGCATTAGAAGATGAGGGGCTCTCGTGCATGTCTCAAACCCACAGCTTGATGGCTGTGGAGCCACCTGAGGGTTCTTGGTAAGAAGACACTGTGAGAACAAATGGGATGTGTCTGGATAAATGGCCATGTGGAGGTAGGACAGCGCTTTTCTAGGACAAATGTCCTTGTTCTGGCTTCTGGAGAGAAGCACAGCACAGGGTAAGAGCAGGAATGAGGTGGAGAAGTGGGCATGGACTGTTGACCAAAGGCCAACAAAATGCAGAGGACTAAGAACACCAAAGACCCCCAAAGCCCTCTGACCCATTTCTAGAAATGTCTAAAAGAACAAACTGCACTTGATAACAAGTTTGCATAGAAGTGGGAAACTTAGCTCCAAGGCAGGGAAGCACATCTATAAAAAGGCAACCCCATAAAACCTAGGCAGCACCCCCAGGACCCTGGATACTCCATCAGCTGGATTGACACTGAAGCCAGGACTCCCTCCCTGCCTCCCTCCCTGCCTCCCTGCCTCCCTCCAAAAATATTCAGCTTGGAGCACTCCTTTACTAGTTTACTCTGTCTAGTTGTCTCTTCTAGTTCAGTGAACAGGAGCTGCAAAGTTTCAATTCAGCAAAAGAGCTCTCAGGATGACATGTTCATGCTGCATCAGGAGGGATGGGAAGTCCAGGAGACACAGAAGGAAGGGATAAAACTTCCCTGTCAGCCTCTGGAATCAGTCAGTTTGAATAGGGCCTTGCATCCGCTCAGGAGAGTCTCAATAGTAGCCAGATATGATAAAACTGATTCCAGGGCATGGAGAGAGCAGGAGTGAAGGAACTGGCTTAGGGACTGGGTTCAGATCTAGATAGTGGCTTTTCCAGGAGCATAAGCTTATGGGGAAAGGAAGGCTGCAGGTTGCCTGGAAAGACCGATAGCAAACAGCTGAACTTGGCAGGAGTCAGAGCAGGCAGCTGCAGCTTCTGCAGATGAAAGGCTGCATCTGGCAAAGGCCCAACCACTTTGCCAGGAAGCTTGCTTTTAATGAAAACCCTTCAAGAGGAGAGATAGTAGGTGGTTTCCCCATGTGGTGATGCCAGCTGATGCTGGAGTTCCTCTCTGCTCCCTGAGGGCATGAAATCAAGGCCAAATGTTTGAATGCCTGATAAGAACAGTAGAATAGAACAGCATTTTACTCTTACCAAATTAATGGAACAATGTAGCCTTGGAGAAACAGAAGTCATGAAGAACAATACAATTGTGCATTACTCAAAAGCTGAGCTCAAAGAACAGCCCCTTAAAAATTTTGGGAGATCTGACATTGATGACCACTGAAGAAGACCCCAAAAGATCAAATAATGACTTGCAATAAGGGGTGTGACTATGTAAATTAAAGTAATGCATATATATCAAGTAAGCAGGGATAGAAAATGAATATGTAATCAGTGTGTATGATAAAAATTCTGTTTACCCTATGCTTGGTGCACTTTATTGGAGACAGGATCCTCTGCCCAGCACTGCAATAAAAAATGCCTACTTTCTGAAAACTGTGTTAGAAGGTTTAATCTGAATGATTTTGGTATCATGCCAACACTGCCTTTTTAACTGCTGCTGTGCTAAATTCTTTCCACCTCAAATTCAGAGAGCCACCCACACATGGATGGCAAAAGAAATTTGGGATGTAAAAGAAAATGGTTTTTATTCCATGCTGAGAACATGACATTTAAATTCATATTTGCCTGGAAGAGAAGACAATACACATTTATCAGACTCCCAAAGGGGTGTAAATATTGTCCAATGATTGCACAGACTGTGCTTGCTGAACTTCTACTTTTTCTCTCCGTCTGGACATAAAATTGTTTTTAATCACAGAAGATGCCTACCTGAAAAGCTGCTAAAGCTGCTGGGAGTGTCCTTGGGGAAGAACCTCCAAGACCTCAGAACAGGATCCTGGCCAAAAGACATTTGGCTTTGGGACATTGTATTTAGAGCTTCTAGGCTGTTGGAGGTTAGAGGTTTTGTTTTCCTTTTGTCTTCTTTCTCTTAGGGATTTTTTTCCCAGTTTTGTTGCTAGAGACAATAACAACTGTCTACTTAAGAGAGACAAAATAAGTTGTCCCTGGAAGGGTGCAGCTGGCTGCTGTCTTATCTGAGTGTTTCTTTCAGAGGTGCAGAGATACCTTGAGAATTTGGGCTGGGAAAAAAAAGTGAGCTGGGCTCAGCTTCTGTGTCTTGCTCACTTAGCATTAGGAAGGGGAAAGAGGCTGTGGTCACTGTGGGAAGAATTCAACAACACTGTGGGGTTCTGCCTCCTGCTGCCTTGTCCTACTATGAGTGGAGCTCTGCTCTTAAAGAGTGGCCATTGCACTGGGATTATTAACACACTACCTCACCAAACAGGGGACCCTTCACCATCTGCTCCACTGCCTCAGGGGAAGCCCCAGGATCCCTGATCCCCCCTTCCCCTTCAAGGGACCTTCTCCCGGCTGTGTTTGGGAGCCAGGCTGCGGCTGCCCAGCCCCGCTGCTTCTCCGCCACTGTTCTGGGTTCTTCACTACACTGTAACCCTGCACCCCTGCCCGCTGGGCCCACCACGGCTCCCACTGCAGCTGCGGAGTCTCTGACACATCTCATCTACCACTCCGGGATCTGCTCACCCCTGCCGTTCCAGCCACTGCCCCGAGGTTCCTGCTACAGCTCATCCAGAGGGGCACCGGGACCTGCTGCACCTGTGGGTTTGTAAAGGAAGCCCCTTCTCCATCCCTGCCCCGGCTGCGCCGCCATTACCCACACGCAGAGAGGCGGCCGAGCCCGCGCCACAGCGCCCCCTGCAGGCGCGGGGGAATCACCGCACCCGCCCTGCCCGGCCGGGAGCCACCAGCGCCCCTGCTGGCCGTGCCCGGAACTGCAGCCAAGGGGAAAGCACTTAGAGCAGGAAGAGATTGATTATTGGGTTTTCTGGGTTCTTTTGTTTGTTGTTGCTGCTGTTGTTGTTTGTTTGCCTTGTTAAATACCTACATACTGGTAAAGAGCTATTATTTCTTTTTCCTATCTTTGTCTGAAAGCCCTTTAATTTCAAACTAATAATAATTTGGAGGAAAGGGGGTCATATTGTCCATTCCAACAGAGATTGCCAGCTTTCTTGGCAGACACCTGTCTTTCAAACCGAGACAAAGCCATACTCCCCTTCTAAAATTTTCGATTAAGGAATGAAAATCTTTCAGGGTGGGAAGATATTCTTGGCCTTTTTTCCTGAATATGAAGCAAGAAATGGAGGATGAAGGAGAGGCTGCATTTCAGTTCTGTGGGTACTTCTCTGCAAGCACCACTCAGTTGTAGATTGGCTTCTGGCAAAGATGCCCGGCTACTCTGTGGTGCTGAAGGACAATACAAGGTGGGGGGCAACTGAGAGAATATTCACATGACCTCATGATGAGGAACACACACACACACAGACTAACTCATGTGTGCTCATGTGCATGGAGCCAAGAAAAAGTCTTTCTATTCATAGAAGGCCATAAAAATACCAGCAACTCAGGACTTCTTGGGAGCAACTCTGACAGGAGAGGACCCAGTAATATCGGGGAAAGACCAGGTCATAGACACATCGCTGGTGTTCACAGATGGCCAACAGAGACTGCACAGGAAGAGGATGAGGCAATGAGACCAGCTGAATTTTCCTGAAAGCAATGTTTGTGTAGCAATGGGGTCAGTGCAGCAATGACTGACTGCCATAGAGAGTCAGGGGGGAAAACCAGAAAAGGATGCTTAATGTCCCCTCACATGGCAGTCCTTCGCGTGCAAGAATGAGAGCAGTGTAGATTCCTTGACAATGTTAGTGCAAAACCCCATACAGACATGACACAGCTTCACATCAACTGACCACATGGAATGCTACCATCTGAGCCTTCTGCCTGAGCTGATGTGTTTATATCCAGGAAATATTTGGGCTTCTCATCCCAGCACTTACAGAAGACTTCAGATAGAAAGGCACATGGAATTAGACAGGAAATGAAAAGCTAGTAGTGCAGGAAACCAGGACAAAGCCCCTACCATTAGCTGGGATGGTGCACATTTGACATGAGCTGGTCAGAAAACTGACTTCCACAAAGGTGCCTCTGAGCCTGAGGCAGGGCAGGACTGCTATAAAAGGCAGCCCAAGTCTCTGCTCTCTCATCCACTTCTCTCACCTCCTTCTCCTCAGGAATCCTCAGGTGAGTGGGAAGATCCTGCTCCTGCTCCTGCTCCTGCTGCTTCAAGAGCAGCTCTTTCCTGGCTGTAGGTCTCATCTGAGACAGGATTTGGGAGCACAGGACTGGGAGTTGCTTCTGCTGGGAGAGGGCAGGGGAAGGAAGGTCTTGTGCAGACAGTGAGAGGCTGGGACATGGCAGTGGTGGCTCCTGGACTTTGAGCTGGGCACTGCAATGTGGACCAGGTGCTGCCTTGGCTGCAGGGTGTTTGGGTGCAGTGCTGCTTCTCATGTGTCCCCACTTTCTGCTTCTGCCTGTCCTCTGTGCCAGGTGCACCTGTGACCCCGAGCCATGTCCTGCTGCAAGCCCTGCGACCCTTGCTGCCAGCCCTGCGGCCCCTGCCCGCTGGGCAGCAGCTGCAATGAGTGCTGTGTCAGGCAGTGCCAGAGCTCCCATGTCGTCATTGAGCCGCCTGCTGTGCTGGTGACCCTGCCCGGCCCCATCCTCAGCTCCTTCCCACAGAACACCGCCGTGGGATCCTCCACCTCCGCTGCCGTTGGCAGCATCCTCAGCTCTCAGGGAGTGCCCATCAGCTCCGGGGGCTTTGACATCTCCTGCATCACCAACTGCTTTGGTGGCAGCAGATGTCCTCCTTGCTAAAGATTCTGCTGGCAACATCCTTGGGCAAGAACCTCCAAGACCTCAGAATATGGAGCTGGAATCAAGACAAAATTTTGGGATATTGTATTTGGACTTTTTGGCTATTAGTTCCTTCTTCAACACTCTCTTCTCTTTTTCTTTCCTTTTTTGATGACACCAACCAATGCCACCTTGGTGGCCCCTTCCTTCTCCCCCTCTATCTGCAGGCCAGGCTGCCGGACACCCCCTATGCATCTTAGTATCTGCACCTTGTGCTGTGTCTGATGTTCCCACGTTTCTTCTTTAGACTCAATAAAGTATTTTTGCATTCTAAACTGGGCCTCTGATTTGTCCTTCTTTCCATGACAAGTTTACCAGTCTCCTCAGGAAAAAGGTGGAAAAGCAGAGAGTGGGACGGACTCACTGCTATGGATTTTCCTTCTGTCTTTTCCCTTGGAGCTGACATAGACAGAGATATCCTGACAGTGAGAGTGATGAGGTGCTGGAACAAGCTGCCAGAGAAATTGTAAATTTCTCACTCCTGCAAGTCTTCAAGGCAAGTGTCCTGGGGTTGCTCAGGACTTTGAGCTGCTTGGTTTGGTGGGTGCCGTTCTTGCCCATGTTTTGTGGTGTGGGTAGAGTGTTGCAAACAAAAAACTGTTCAAGTTCCCTTCCATCCCAAGTATTTCAGTTGACATAGTTGGGCAGATGGAACACCCACAAAACCATGATGGAGAGGCAAAGAGTAAATTTATTTCCTTTCCTCACTCCACACAGGAGGCTGAATCAACACTTGGGCAGAGATGCACAAATGGGAACATTGTCCCCCTTAGGTTAAGTCCTTGCTGGCAGGGGTCCTCTTTACACCAGTCCTATGATGTGTCTGTGCTTTATTGATCTCTGAATTTTTATTTTTCTCTCTCCCAAAATAGGTATCTCAAGCATGTCCGTGACAGGGCCTCCAAGTCTCTAAACACTAGCCTTGCCTCTACAGAGTGATTCTGCTTCTGCAAACACAGGATAAAACAGAATAAGGCATCCTTTATGGTTTTTCCCACACTGATACCCTTCTCTGACATTCTCAGCTGCAACGTCACTTGAGTGAACCTACAACCATTCTCCTCATTCTTCTGCTTTTAACCCTTTCCTCCCAACCCAAACCATTTCTAATGAAATCCGCTTTCACGGAGGCTTCACCAGTGTGACAAATGGGCTCTGTGTTGGGTAGCATAGAGTCCCCTTTGGTCACACTTGGAGCTGATTCTGTCAGATGTGGCGGGAAACACTGGACTCTTGTCCCAGAGCCCATTCCTGTAGTTTTCTTCCCCAGCTACCAAACCTCATCGCTTTTACACAAGACAGAATGTCCAACACAGTGTGAAGCACAATCAGATGAATAAAAATTTCAACAGCCAATTGTTATGCACGGTTTTGCTTTAGCCAACTGCCTTATCTCAAGCATCAAATTGTTTCCCATCTGATTTTCTCTTCCCTATCCACCTCAGAAAGGAGAGTCATAGAATGGCTTGCAGAACACTGGCCATCAGCCAAGGTCAACTCAGCACAGCTGGTAATAACCACCAAGGATTGGCAGTACAGACATGTATCGAGAAAGTCCAGCATGTGGTGGGAGAAGGGACCCTGGGGAGGTAGGGAAGCAGTTTTCTGGGAGAAGTGTCTCTGCTGTGGCTCCTGGAGAGCAGCAAAACACAGCACAGGGCAAGAGTAGGAGGTGGAGCAGCAGGCATGGGCTGTTGGCCTAATGCTGACCTAGGAGAGAGGAATCAAGACCACAAAGGCCCCTGAAGCCCCCAATCTCTGTTCAGAAGGAGCCAGAAGGATAGATTGGGCATGGAAAGTCATTTGCACAGGGAGCAAGATGATTGGTTCCATTGCAGGGATAATCTTATCTAAAATCAGTGTCCCCAGGAAGTCTAGGAAGTACTCCCAGAATCCTGGACACCATACCAACTAGATTGATGTATGGTCCAGGAGTATTGAGATTTCCCTTCCCTTCCCTTCCCTTCCCTTCCCTTCCCTTCCCTTCCCTTCCCT